GAAATGCTAGCCATAGCGATAAGACAAGACGAAGAAGAAATAAAAGGCATCCAAATTGGAAAAGAAGAAGTAAAACTGTCATTATTTGCAGATGACATGACATTGTATATAGAAAACCCCAAAGACTCCATCAAAAAACTACTAGACTTAATACATGAATTCAGCAATGTAGCAGGATACATTTAAGGAAGTAAGAGACCTGTACTGAGAAAACTACAGGACATTGAAAAAAGAAATAGAGGAAGACATAAACAAATGGAGGAACATACCATGTTCATGGATTGGTAGAATTAACATCATCAAAATGTCCATACTACCCAAAGCAATTTATAGATTCAATGCAATCCCCATTAAGATACAAACGGAATATTTCACAGACCTAGAACAAACTCTTCAAAAATTCATATGGAATAAAAAAAGACCCCAAATAGCCCCATCAATCCTGAGGAAGAAGAACAAAGTAGGAGGAATCTCAATACTAGATATCAAGCTATATTACAAAGCCACTGTTCTCAAAACTGCCTGGTACTGGCACAAGAACAAACATATACGCCAATGGAACAGAACAGAGAACCCAGAAATCAACCCAAGCCATTATGCTCAATTAATATTTGACAAAGGAGGCAAGAACATACAATGGGGTCAAGATAGTCTCTTCAATAAATGGTGTTGGGAAATTGGACAGATACATGCAAAAAAATGAAACTAGACCACCAACTTACACTATTCACAAAAATAAATTCAAAATGGATAAAGGACTTAAACGTAAGACAGGAAACCATAAAAATCTTAGAAGAATGCATAGGCAGCAAAATATCAGACATGTATCATAGCAATATCTTAATTGATACAGCTCCTAAGGCAATGGAAACTAAGGAGAAAATAAACAAATAAGACTACATCAAAATAAAAAGCTTCTGCACAGCAAAAGAAACCATCAACAAAACAACAAGAAAGCCCACTGCATGGGAGAACATATTTGCCAATATTATCTCCGATAAGGGTTTAATCTCCAAAATTTACAGGGAACTCATACAATTTAACAAAAGGAAGATTAAACACTCCAATCAAAAAATGGGCAAAGGACCTAAATAGACACTTTTCGAAAGAAGACATACAGAAGGCTGAGACATATGAAAACATTCTCAAAGTCACTAATCATCTAAGAGAGGCAAATCAAAACAACAATGAGGTACCATCTCACACCTGTCAGAATGACTATCATCAACAAATCAACAAACAATAAGTGCTAGCCAGGATGTGGAGAAAAAGGAACCTTCTTGCACTGCTGGTGGGAATGCAGATTGGTGCAACCACTGTGGAAAACAATATGGAGTTTCCTCAAAAAATTAAAAATGGAACTCCCATTTGACCCAGTAATCCCACTTCTAGGAATATATCCCAAGTATTCAGAAACACCAACCAGAAAGTATATATGCACCCCTATGTTCATAGCAGCACAATTCACAGTAGCTAAGATTTGGAAACAGCCTAAGTGCCCATCAACAGATGAATGGACTAGAAAACTATGGTACATCTACACAATGGAATACTATGCTGCTGTAAAAAAGAAGGAACTCTTACCATTTGCAACAGCATGGACGGACCTGGAGAGCATATGCTAAGTGAAATAAGCCAGTCGGAAAAAGATAAATATCACATGGTCTCACTCATTTGTGTAATATAATGAACAACATAAACTGATGAACAAAAGTAGAGCCAGAGGGAAAAAAAATATTTTAGAATATAATAGAAGTAATCCTGTTACTTGCAGGTTTTTAATATTTCCTACAACTTTTGTATAATTACTATGTTAGTGCAGTTTTGGTAATACGGTACTACTTTGAGTAATTAGGAGTAGGCCTGCGCCTAAACATTTCATGAGGTTTCTGTTCAATGTCATTTTCTCTGGGCAGCCCAGACTTACTTCCCTGCTGCCACAGATTGCTCCCACCAGCATGGAACACTGTGCTGACAAGCCAGGGCAGAGGTCTTGTCTCTGCAGCTGAACTTCATATCCTCAGCCACCAAAGAGAGCCAACCAGTCACAGAAAATGCTTTAAAATATTTGCTGAATACGTTAATGAACCCATACATGGGGCTTTATATTTATCAAGGCAGAGCAATGTGAAATGCACACTTTGGACTCAAATGTAGATTCAAATCCCAACTCTGACACTCACTAGCTGGGTGGACCTTCCAAATCACTTTCCCTCTCAGTGCCTCAGTTCCTCTATCTATAAAAATCCCCACCTACTTCCAGGTTTTTCTTAGAAATAAAATTCATAATGGATGACAAAAAAAAATAAGATTATAAGAAACATTATTAAAAGAGTCAACTGAGAGAAGGGTCCTCAAATGATTTGGTCTTGGGATCTCTTTACATTCTTATGTATTACCGAGAACCCAAAAACCTTAAGTTTACATAGATTATATCTGTTGATATTTGCTCTATTAGCAATTAAAACCGAGCAATTTTTAAATGTTTATTCATTTAAAAATAAATCTATTTAACATACATACTTTTATGAAAAATATACTCTCCAAAAAAGTAGTAAGAAGAGTTTTCACTTTTACAAGTCATATATATATATATGTTTTGTTTTTTTTAATTGACTTCAGAGAGGAAGGGAGAGGGAGAGAGAGATAGAAACATCAATGATGAGAGAGAATCATTAATCGGCTACCTCCTGCACGCCCCCTACTGGGGATCAAATCTGCAAACCCAGCCATGTGCCCTGACCAGGAATCAAACCTTGACCTGGTTCATAGGTAGATGCTCAACCATTAAGCCATACCAGCCAGGCTTACAAGACTTTTTAATGCTCCCTCAATGACAGGTGGATCCCCATGTCTGTTTCTGCACTCACCCAGTTGCAACATGCTGTTTGTGAGTGAAATACATGAAGATAATGCAGCCTCACAGATTGGTGCCACCACCGCCGTGATTCCTGCTAAGACCTCATTGCTGTTGTATGATTAGTGCAAATGGGAACCAAGTCACAAAGCCAGTCTTAGTATCGCTGTGAAAATGCCTTCCTTGCAGAGCCCTAAAGTGTGTGGGACGCCAAGGGGTCCCCAAAGCACACTTTGAGAACCACCGTGGTAGACAGAGCAACAGTAAGAGGGAAAGCTCAGGAAGCACTGAGACCTACAGCGGGAGAAGGGAGGTAGTCTCTCCGCATGGGGACAGCAAGGCCTGGGACACAGAAACACTGTGGCATCTGACCACAAGGGACTCTTGAGAAAAGAGAGCTGGGCAAGGCCACAGCAGTTAGGACTCCTGAGGCCCCTGGATTTCAAGGTCAAGGGGTGGAGGAATCCATTTTAACCAGGGAGTGTGCCCGATTTACATTTTAAGGGGACCCTGAGGCTGACAGGACAGAGGAGCAGAGACCAATTAAGGCTCCTACAGAAGTGCACCTGAGGGACATATGACTGCCAGGTGGCAAGCATAGGGGCCCGGGTGAAATACACATTTGCGGTGAAGCCACAGACCTGCCAGGCCTCCACAGCCAGGTGGGCAGGGCCGGGCGCTGTGGAAAACCGGGTGACCGCCTATGCCACATGGTAGGACAGGAAGGTCCCTCTGTGTCCTGAGCCTTCTTCCAGGTGACCCAGATAGTGCGCCTGGTGCGATTTCTGGCGGGAGGCATATTAACAAGATAAGGTAAATGCACAGCCACAGGCCTTCACGACCTCCTCACAGCCACCGCCCACCACCAATGACAAGTGGGGTGATTAGGACCCAGGTACGGCTGTGCACATGGACAGTGGCCCACGCTCCAGGCCACATGAAGGGTCAGTCCTGGCTGGAATGCCTGCACCCTGGCCCGTCACAGCGTGTCCCTAACTCCCCTATCTGCACTGCACCCCCTTCCCTGAGGGCCTCAGGAGAGCATGGGCAAGGTGCGCGCCAGCCCCCACCTGCACCTGTGCTCCGGGAGCCTGAGCGTCCCTCCTGCAGGACAGGGGCACAGAGTCAACAACCGGGCTCCGCCTATGCCCTGGCGCGTCGGTCTCAGGACCGCACGTCCCAGAGGCGGGGAGCCTGGTGCGGCCCTGTGGCCTGGGGAGACCAAGGGCCGCGGCTGTCACCCCGGCTCCCCGCCCCGCCAGCCCGCCAGCCGCGCCGGCACCAGCACCCACAGGCCTCCACAGTCCGGCGGCGGGCAGGGCGGGGCGCGATCCCCGCTGACGGGC